GGAGACTAGATGAGGGCAGAGCACTAGAGATGCCCATTAACTTCACAAGAGTTAGGATGGGCTGGGTAAGGGTAGTAGCAGAGAAAGAGCAATTTGGCAAATGTCTGAAAAATAGAACTAGCTGAACCTAGAATATTATTTCATATGTTGACAGGAAAGTGAAAGGAAGGAGCTGATACAAGATAGTAAAATTCAAGGATTTCTCTCTAGTCTAGAGCCATAATAGGGAGAGGAAAGCTTTACTGAGCTAGAAAATGCTAAAATTCAAACATCACAGAACAGATAAGTTTAGTTTTAGACTCATTAAGTTTGCAGTTACTGAAAGACATCTTAGTATATACATCTGAGAAAGAATTTAACATATGGCTCACAAAGTATTCTGGCTAGAAGTAAAAACTCAGTCTTTTTCAATGAGTTTTCTGTTGTTGTTTCTTTGTTTTATTTTTGCTTGAACTTTTCACCCTTCTCACCCAGGCCCACAAACTCCTTCTCTCCTCTGACACTTGTCATTGTGTTCTCTATCTATATCCATGAGTCTGTCTCCACTTTGTTTGTTAGTTTCTTTTGTTAATTAGATTCAACATATCAGTGAAATCATATGGTACTTGGATTTCTCTGGCTTATTTTACTTAGCATAATACTCTCCAGGTCCATCCATGCTGTTGATCCAATGAAAAACCTCAACCATTCCCAGTATTGACTTTAGGTTAATTTTATTTATTTATTTATTTTAATATGGTGAAATATACACAATATAGAATTTACCATCCTAAATTATTTTTAGGTGTTCAATTTGTGGCATTCAGAACATAAGTGTGCATGTATTCTTTCAAATTAGTGTTTTGGGTTTCTTTGGATATATTCCTAGAAGTGGAACTGCTGGCTCATGAGGTGGTTCCATTTTTAATTTTTCAAAATATATTTTCATAATTTTTTTAAAGAGAGAGGAAGGGAGAAAGAGATAAAAACATTGATGCGAGGGAGAAACATCAATCGGCTGCCTCCTGCACAACTCCTATTAGGGATTGAGCTTGCAACCCAGGCATGTGCCCTGACCAGGAATTGAACCAGGACCTCTCAGTCCATAGGATGATGCTCAATTCACTGAACCACACCAGATGGACCATTTAATTTTTTTTTTTTTTTTTTAGTTAGCTTTATACTGTTTTCCACAATGGCTGTACCAATCTGCACTCCCACCAACAGTGCATGAAAGTTCCCTTTACTCCACATCCTCACCAGCTCTTGTTTATTGATTCATCAATGATAACTATTCTGATAGGTATAAAGTGATATGTCATTGTGGTTTTAATTTGCATTTTTCTGATGATTAGTGATATTGAGCATCTTTTCATATGTCTATCAGCCATTTCTATAACAAAAATATGGTGACAGCCAGAGGGAAAGGAGTCGGGGGGTGGAGAGGTAAAAGAATGTAAAAAGGGGATAAATGGTAATGGAAGATTTGACTTGGGTTTGTGAATACACAATACAATATACAGATGATGTATTATGTAATTAATTGTACACCTGAAACCTGTATAATTTTATCAACCAATGTTACTCCAATAAATTCAATAAGTAAAAATAAAAACTTAGGAGTTTTTAATATATAGATTGGAAATAAAGCCAAGGGTGAAGATTATATTGCACAGGGGAAATAAGTATAGTGAGAAGAGTTTAAAATACAGGTATGAAACTAAAAGAGAAAGAGGGGTTTAAGGAAATTGAAGCAAAGGAAAAGAAAATAGAAAAAAGCCAGGAAAGTCACCATTAGAAGTTTGAAGGAAACAGGTTGTCTCATGCAATGATGGTAGGAAAGAACAATGAATAGTTTTTATGCTGAGCAATTTGTCAATGTCTGTTAATACTAAGAACATACAAATGCTTCAATATTTCATTTTTTGTAAGTTTGCTTTTTATATAGACACATACAGAAAATGACATGAGTGGTAATATTCTTTTTTATCTTTATTGTTGAAAATATTACAGATGTCTGCAATTTTTCCCACATTGACCTCTTCCTCCCCAATCCCACCACCCTCATGCTTTCCCCCAAACTATTGTCTGTGTCCATTGGTTATGAATATATGCATATAAGTTCTTTGGTTTCTCTCTTCCCTATCCCCCATCCCAGTTCACTCTGAGGTTTGTCAGTCTGTTCCCTGCTTGCATGTCTCTGAATCTATTTTGATTGTCAGCTTATTTTATTCATGAAAATCCATAAGTGAATTCTTATCATACTTGTCTTTCTCTGATGAGCTTATTTCACTCAGCATAGTACTCTCCAGGCCCTTCCATGTTGTCTCACAGGGTAAGAGATTTTTTTGCTTAGAGCTGCATAGTATTCCATCGTGTAAATGTACTGCAGTGTTTTTATTTATTCATCTACAGATGGATACTTTGGTTGTTTCCAGACCAAAGCTATTGTAAATAGCACTGCTATGAACATAAGGATGCATATATTCTTTCTGATTGGTGTTTCAGACTTCTTAGGATATATTTCTAGAAGTGGAATCCCGGTTCAAAAGGCAATATCTTTTTAAATTTTTTGAGGAAGTGGCTGCACCAGTCTGCATTCCCACTAGCAGTGTACTAGAGTACCCTTTTCTCCACATCTTTGCCAGCACTTGTTCTTTGATGATTTGTTTATGGCAGCCGTTCTGGCAAGTGTGAGGTGATACATCATAGTCACTTTAAATTGCATCTCTCTAATGATTAGTGATGATGAGGATTTTTTCATGTCTCTTGGTCATTTGTATGTCCTGTTTGGAGAAGTGCCTATTCAGGTCTTCTGCCCATTTTACAATTGGATTGTTAGTTTTCCTTTTGTTGAGTTGCATGAGTACTCTATATATTTTGGATATTAGCCCCTTATTGGATGATACATTCTCCCAGAGAATGAGTTCCCTTTTTATTATGATACTGATTTCTTTTGCTGTGCACAAGCTTTTTAGTTTGATGTAGCCCCATTTATTAATCGTTTCCCTTGTTTCTCTTGCCCTAGGTGATGCATCAGTGAGAATTCAGCCATGTGTGATATCTGAGATTTCACTGCCTACATTTTCTTCTAGAATTTTTATGGTTTCATGACTTACACTTATGTCTTTTATGAATTTTGAGTTTATTCTTGTGTATGGTGTAAGTTGGTGATCTAGTTTGATTTTTTGGCATATACCTGTCCAATTTTCCCAACACAGTTTATTAAAGAGAGCATCATTTTCCCACTGTATGCTTTTGACTCATTTGTCAAATGTGAATTGTACATAATATCTTGGGTTCATTTCTGAGTTCTCTGTTCTGTTCAATTGATCTATATGCCTGTTCTTGTGCCAGTGCTGTGATATTTTGATTACAATGGTTTTGTAGTATAACTTAAATCTGATATTGTGATCCCTCCAACTTTCTCCTTCTTTTTCAAGATTGGTTCTACATAAACTTTTGAAGTATTTTTTTTTTTTTTTTAGATCTGTGAAATATGCTATTGGTATTTTAATAGGGATTGCATTGCATTTATAGATTGCTGTGGGTAATATGAACATTTTAATGATGTTGCTTCTTCCAATTCATGAACTTGGTGTATGCTTCCACTTTTTTATATATTCCTCTATTTCTTTATTCAATGTTCTGTAATTTTATGAGAATAGGCCTTTTACCTCCTTGGTTAAGTTTATTCCTTAGTTTCTTTTCTTTCTTTCTTTTCTTTCTTTCTTTCTTTCTTTCTTTCTTTCTTTCTTTCTTTCTTTCTTTCTTTCTTTCTTTCTTTCTTCTTTCTTGCAATGGTAGATGAAATTGTTGTTTTTAGTTTCCCTGAGTGTTCATTATTAATGTACAAGAATGCCACAAATTTCTGGATGTTAATTTTGTATCCTGCGACTTTGCCATAATCATTCATTAAATCTAGTATATTTGTCCTGGGGTCTTTAGGGTTTTTATGGACAATATCATGTCACCTTTGAATAATGATAAATTGTCAATCAAAGATTGCCATCACCAATTTTACACTGATAGGAGTCCCTGTTTGGGGTGGAGTGAGGGGACTGAGACATTATTCAGTTCAAACAGATCACTTGTGAAATAACCTATGAAACAGCTCAGCTATGATGTGCCCTGTATGAAGCATTCCCAGTGTTATGACTCTGGTGTTACAGCCTCAGTGTTACAGCTTTAGTCTAGTGAGACATCTGTACTCCAGTTTGGTGTGATAGCTCTTTTTTGGTGCTCTAGCTCAGCTAATGTTGCAACTTCAGGGAAACACAGTTTTCCATGGAAACCTAAAGTGTACTGCACTGAGACAGTAATAAAGTTGGCTTATACAGAGGAAAAATCCTACCCCCAATCCTAATCAATCTATTCTCATGCAGATGAGGACTCTCATGCAAATTTTCACATTGGTTTGATTGAAAAGTACTATCCTGATTTGCCAAAATAAAACAGTCTGATTGGTCGGTCAAAATGAAAAGGAAGATGTAGCTGCACAAGTTTGATTAAATGTGCTAGATATCAATTAAATTTGTTGAAATATAATAAGAGGAACTCCTTTAGAAGGATCAACTCAGAGGGCAGGAACATAGTGCAGAAGGCTAACACTTCAGTGTGAGCACAGACAGTATGCGAGGCCACTATTTAGCAAACTTTTTATTAAGTTGAGCCCACTTAACCACTAGGAGTTCTTAACAGGCACATCAATTCTCAGGTTTGACATTTTCCCCTTTCAATAAAAACATGTCAATAGTCCTATAAAAAATGGGCAGTAAAATACAGAATATTTTTCATAGTAACATTTTTTTTTTTTTCTGATACGTAACTTTGGACAAGGGAAACAAAAGAAAAAAAATAAACAAATGAGACGAGATAAAACTAAAATGTTTTTTCACAGCAAAGAAAACCATCAACAAAATGAAAAGTCAACCACTGACTTTGCCTGAGCCCGCCAGGAGCCAGTGGTTCTCCACGCACGCAGCATCCAGTGAGACTCGCAGCGCACCGACGTAGCGGACATGGGCAGAGCCATGGTAGCCAGGCTTAGACTGGGGTTGTTGCTTCTGGCGCTGCTCCTACCCACGCAGATTTATTCAAATCAAACAACTCCTGCAACACCTTCAAGTAACCCCTCCCACAATACCTCAACTACTCCAAGTCCAGCGAATACTACCACCAAGGCAAGTGGTGGTGCTCTGCAGCCAACAGCCAGTGTCTTTGTGATCTCGTTGGCTCTTCTACATCTCTACTGTTAAAAGACTTGGGCCAAGAAACGTCTATCCTTCACCATCTTCTAAACCCAATCCAAATGGCATCTATACATCCATTGTGACAAGGAAATAACAGGTCTTCATTGAATCTGCTAATTTCACACCAAATTTTATTGACACAGAAAATGTCGAGGATCTCATATTTGATTGGTTTGAAGAGCATGTGCAGGGTTTGACTAGGTGATGAATGCCAGTGTTAAATATGCTGGACTTTAATATACAAGATGAAGGGAGACACATCCAAAATTAGTTCAGAGGTGATTTCCTTAAATGTGGCTTAAGAAGTATGGACACATACAATTCTACCTTGATAATGAATAGATTTTATCTTATCTATAGATACAGTCTGTTTTTATTTGGTTTATTAAAGTTATAAGGCCCTAAAACAGGTAATGCAAAAAGCCATGATTCTATTTATATGTACATTAGAAGGAACTTCCAGGTGTTCCTATAAATTCTCAGCATATTGTTTCACAGTACTAACTTAATGCTGGTGAACTCTGAATAAAAATTTACATGGTTAAGCTATCACTGTTCTCTTCAGAGCTGAACTCTTTACTCTGAGGCTTTGGCTTTGACATAGCATTTGACTTTTGGTGTAATAATTGATATGTGCCAGGGCAATGATGGATTGGAATCTATCCCAAATCTAAGCATGATAAGTAAATGTTGCTGATATTCAAACAAGAGCACCAGATTCATTGAGCTAAACTAATTCCAAAGAGTAGAAGTACACTGACCTCAATTAATTTCAAATGCTTCTTATTTCTGCATATGATACTTTTTACAATTAAAAAAAATGATTGGTTTTGAAGGTAAAATGGACAGATCTTAAAATTGAAAAGGCAAATATATGAAGGAGCCAAAACTGTAAATGAGGTATTGATTGGTTTTGAAGGTAAAATGGACAGATCTTAAAATTGAAAAGGCAAATATATGAAGGAGCCAAAACTGTAAATGAGGTATTTGGGAAGTGAAGACTGGAAGCTTACATTAAGTTCAGAAAAACTTTTATACTCTTTCTGTACATACTTTTTTTTTTTAAACAATGAGTCACAATAGCCACATTTGGTACACTTTTCTGTTATTGGTCAATATTTTTAAGTAGTTAGAAATTGATCCAAAGCCTAATGTGGGCTTAATTCTGGAAAGTAAATCTTTTAACAACTGTTTCTAAGCTCAGAACCTTTTCAAAAGTAGTCACTCCCTAAAGTCTTTTGTTCGTATGGTCACACACTGATGCTTAGATGTTCCAGTATCTAATATGGCCACAGTAGTCTTGATAACCAAAGTCATTTTTCCCATCTTTAGAAAGCTACCCAGGAACACCATACCAGCAGATCTCAAGCTACTGTGTGTGTGAATGAACATTCCCTTTTGTTTCATACCTGAATGCTGTACATCTATTTTGGATTGTATATTGTGTTTGTGTATTTATGCTTTGATTCATAGTGACTTCTCATCTTATGGAATTGATTTGCCTTGAACACAAACTGTAAATAAAAGGAAATGGTTGAAAGAGAGAAAAAAAAAAAAAAGAAAAGTCAACCACTGAATGGGAGAACATAATTGCTAATACATCTGATAAAAGCTTAATATCCAAAATTTATAAAGAACTTATACAACTCAATACTAAAAACAACAGACAGTCCAATTAAGAAATGGGCAAAGGACCTAACTAGACACTTCTTCAAAGAAGATATAAGATGGCCAATAGACAGGAAAGGATCATCAGAGAAATGCAAATTAAAATCACAATGACATATCACTTCACACCTGTCAGAATGGCTATCATCAATAAATCAACAAACAAGTTCTGCTGAGGGTGTGGAGAAAGGGGAATCCTTGTGCACTGTTTGTGGAAATGCAGATTGGTTCAACCACTGTGTAAAACAGTATGAAGTTACCTCAAAATTCTGAAATGAACTGTCTTGTGACCCAGCAATTGCACTTCTGTGAATATATCCAAAGAAACCCAAAACACTAATTTGAAAGAATATATGCACCCCCCCCCATGTTCATTGCAGCATTATTTACAATAGCTAAGATTTGGAAGCAGCCCAAGTGCCCATCGGTAGATGAGTGGATAAAAAAGTGGTGGTGTATTTACACAATAAAATGCTACTCAGCTGTAAAAAAAAAAAAAAAGGAAATCATACCTTTTGTGACAGCATGGATGGACTTGGAGGGTATTATGCTAAGTGAAACCAGGTAGTTAGGGAAGAACAAATACCATATGATTTTACTTATATGTTGAATTTAATGAACAACATAAGATAAAAAACAAAGTGGAGACAGACTCATGGATAATAAGAACATATTAATAGCAGTCAGAAAAGAGGGGGTTGGGTGTAAGTGAAAATGGTAAAATAATTAAGAAAAGAAACACTTATGGACAGAGGCAGTGATATAGTGATTGCCAGAGAGAAGGGGGTTTGAGGAGAGGCAGAAGAGGGTAAAGGGGTGATGGAAGACCATTTGACTCAGTGTAGTAAACACACAAGACAATATACAGATGATGCATTGTAGATTTGTATACCTAAATTCTATATAATTTTATTAATTTATTTCAACCCAATAAATTTAATAAAATAAATAGAAAAACAATAAGAACATTTTTACAGCACTATGATTGATTAGGTCTGTTTGTCCCGTGTAGATTGCGTACCTCTTCTGGTTCTATCCAGAACCGTGTTTAGATTTCTGTGACAAAGCCATAGGCAGAAGAACAATTAGAGCCATTTGCTTTTGAGAGGTCTCAGACACTTGCCAAATTCAAGGAAGACTTTCAGTAGTCAAACAATTTAGAAGAGGTTACAATAAATCAGAGATATTCAATTTGTAACATGAGAAGAAATGAGAAGAAATTGACCAAAATAGTATTTATCATCAAGGGTAAAGGTTTTAATAAACATAAATTACAGACATGGAGGGAATGCAGTGGCTTGGTGAATTGTTTCCACTCTTTGAGTAACCACTGCTTGGGTTTTTATACAGGCCTTTAAGCATTTTGTTATATAGAACACTAGTAGTTTAACAGTGAAGTACATAAAACAAATTAGAACAACAGTAAATAGAACAATTTGCAACTCATATCTTAAAATCTCCTGTAACTCAGTTGGAAGCCAACTGAAACTATCAGAAAATGTAAATCCAAACCAGCCAGTAGTGATATGGGACAAAGTGGTGGGTACTTTTCCCCACGGGGTGTTGCTGGAGGTGGACTTTCTATGATACACTGAGAAAAATAATTTTCTGAGATTTGCAGAGAATAATGAGTGATTTTTATTTGCATTGGATTTACATCTGTTTCCAAAAACTCATTTCTTTAAGTCCAGTCTAGAAGAAGTGTACCTGGGGTTTCAGTAAAGCTAGAACCAAAGCCAGATTTTCCATTCTATGTTAGAGCCGTGTCCAGTACAACATCAGGCTAGTTGCAGTCCATTAGTCCACTGTGCGTGGGGTCCACATGGCCATGGGCCATTAAGGTCAATGCAGGGAAGCAGGAGCAAAAGAACCCTACAAGCCCAGAGTCATATGAGTCACAAGTGAAACAAGAGCAAGTTCTTTGTTCAGGAAATTAAGTACCCCAAATCTCCATGGGCTTGTAGTGGCCATGACTATTCTGGCCAATGACCTCTCTTCCCAGGTGTGACAGATAGCAAGAATCTTCCCTAGTCATTCCAATTTTACTGGGCATGCATCTATCTTCCCTTTGTCCAGTCTCCTTACCCCAGGAACATGCCTATAATGAATGTCTGGCCTTTCTTTTGCTCTTTTCCAATTATTACTAATTAACTAATTACACAGGTATCAATAATGCTAGAGGTAAAACTGAAATGCCCTTTAAGAGATCTTGCAAGTTTAAGGTGTTGGTTGTTTCTAATTCTACCTGGGAAGAAATTTATCTAGGTGCATCAGGAAGTATTAGATATTATAGAAACTTGGGCTATAGGCAAATAATCTAAACCATGCCTGTTGTCAAGGACTACTAACCCTAGGGAATCTAAATGTCTTTATTAAGCTCTAATGGCTCCTTCATCTGAACAGGCCATTCCATTAAGTGTTCTGGTTGGATTTCATATGTCCAATTGAGCAATGCCAAGGCCAGCCCATGAACCTACAGTTCTAAGAAAGCAGTTGCTCCCATATTAAGTGTAAAATTTATTTGCCACCATTGTGGAATGACCAATATTTAAAGCCATATCTAAAAAAAAATTTTAAAGAAATTACACTAAAAGAAGTCTGGAGGTATAACTAAAGCCATAGTCTTTCATGCCTTCTATTAATGACATGAAAAATTATATAACATGATTTATTTTCTATATACATAGTGTTTGAATTTTAAAAATGTGTCATTTACATCCACAGAAGTATCAGAATTAGATTCAGATTTAAAAATAGAAATAATTTGTTTACCTTCTAACTAGCCATTTGTGAAATTGTAAGGTCAATAAAACAAAATCTTTATTAACATAGTAATAATGTCTAGCAAATGATGCCAGTTAAGCAAATAGTTCAAATGTATAATATACCTAACTTTTCAAGCATTTATCTCAGTGTTAACTAGTTTTACCTAATTGTTACCATCCTAGGAGAGAGAGATGTTAATATTAATCCCCATCCAATATATCATATTTTCAGTGGTAGAAAGGAAAATATTTAATTTCTTCACTATTTTTTTTATTCTTATAAATCTGATATAATGTTGGCAAAGTGGTTAGGCTATGATAGGTCCTCTAGAGGATCCAATAAAGGAAGTTCCTTAGGTTTTACAATATTGCTAGCATTGTATATGATAAGCCAATTGTCAGGAATCCATGTATCTGGTAAAAATATTTCTGGATTAACAATTGAGATCAGCTGCTAAAAAATCATATAACTGTCAGATCACAGTTTAATCATTTCTATCAAATTAAAATTTCTTAGTAAATAGTACCAGCTTTCATTTATTTTCTGTATCATCTATAACACCTACTAAAGTGTCATGAGTGTACCATTTGGTGGATATTTGGAAAGTAGTTTTATTTATTTTTTTACTTATTT